CATCAGCGGCAGAAGGGGCAGTGGCACAGGAGCCAAGAAGTGCAGGAGGAGAAGCAAGAGGGGCTGTGGGAGAGGACGTGAGAGCAGCAGGAGCATCAGAGCAGCTGCCAACTGCCAAGCAGCTGGGCGGCAGAAGTGCAACCCTTCCGGGCTACCCTCCCTCCCCTCTGCCTCTCCCCTCATGCTCCCCTCTCCCCCCACCCCACCCTTCCCTTCCCTCCCTGCATCGTCCTCCCCCTCCTCTACTATCCCAAGACTGAGTACCAAGCCACAGACCTTTGAGTCGTTAGCACGAGCTGCTGTGTGTAGAAGGCTCAAGAGCCTGGCTCTCTTGAACTGCTGTGGGCTGGAGGAGAGGCAGCTGGTGGAGCTGCTTCGTGCATGTGGCATGCTGGAGGATCTAAGGGTGCAAGGCCGTGATGTCTTCTCAGACAGCGTGATAGCAGCAAGTCACCTGGAGGTGTTAACTCGGTTGAGTGTGGTGGGGTGCGGTGGAATCACTGCAGACGCTATTGGCAGGCTGCTGGGAAACGTGCCAAGGCTGCAATATTTGGAGGTGAAAGGGGACAAGGTTTCTGAAAGGGCTCGCCGGGAGTTGCTTCGTGCTGGAGTTGTTGTTAGGGGAGTGTGAATCTGCTTGGTTAAGGGCATGTTCCTACGGCCCCTTATCAGGGACACCTCGTATCAGCTTCGCATTTTTGCCTGGTAAAATTCGCGAAAGTTTTTGGGTTTAGGGAAATTTCAGTGTGTTGTGATGCGAGCCTGATAAGAGGTTGGCCTGATAAGGGGCTGTAGGAACTTGCCCTAATAATTTTCTTCAAGCTTGCTTGTTTCTTGCACATGCAAACAATTCTTTACAATGTATGTATGTATAGATAAGGCAATGCATTCTTCAGGTGAGACATACGGTTTGCTTGTTTATTTGCCAATACACAATCCCGGCATAACTCCAGAACGAACTTATGAGGTTATTTGTTTGATTGACAATCACCCGGATATACGACCCTGGTCTACAATAAGGACTTGAGTATTCTATTTATGTATGTTTGAGTTATACACCACCCCATTTGGACGGTTATTATATAACGAGTACATTTTTGCAGGTGAAACCGCACGGATCTGGTGCATGGTAATTGCTGGGGACACCTGGGGCTGGTGTCACCTGGCCCTGGTAACGTAACGTACACTACAGTATTTTGCTGATTGGTCGGTGATTTTGGTGGAACGTGGACGTTTAGGTCGATTTTCGCCTGTCGCAATTTTCGCATGCCTAAACAAATTCTCCCAGATTCGCGACAACGAAACGTGTCTTGTTTCGCAGGATACATCAGGCTGGAGAACGACCCCAGCGAAACTGTTTCCGCTCGTCATTCTTTTCGTGGAAGGTCCTCTTTGCGCGAGTCGGTCACCTTCAATGGTTTGTCGTTCGTGCGGGGCAAATCTGAAAATGGGACTGCTACTGGTGGCACATCGTGCATAGTGAGCAGGTAGGCTTTGAATCACTTGCCCAACTAACACTCGACACACAACCATACCATTTTCCGCATTCTCGCACATAAGTGATCACACTCTGCAAGGTTTTCTTTTGCCGTGGACGATTGAGTAAGCGACTCCTATCAAGCCTCCTAGTTAGCTCCGCCTTCACGACTTTTAAATATCTCTCCTAGAAGTAGCCGACCTGCAGTGGCGCGCACATTGACTGAAGCAATCGTCGCACACTGAGTAAAGCTCTCGTTACGCAAACGCGCCGTGCAACCTTCAAGTTTAAGTCCGTCGCGTGCCGCCATGGCTGGAGTACGAGCCTGGTGTCTTATTTTCCTCGTTACTGTCTTCCTCGCACCCCGTGAGTATCCTACAGCCTGTTAGGGACGTACCGTAGAGTCTAGAGTCGCGACCGACGACACTAACCCCCACATGTCTCCTGAGGGGCCTCTATAGTCCGTGTTTCGCGGAGCCTAGGAACATGCAGAGGAATTCATGCGGTCCGTCCTTTCCTTAGGAACACGCGTTTCGAGTGTCCATCTTCCATTACCACACTTGTCTCCCCCTCCCCTTTCCCCTCCCCTCCCCCCTCCCCCTCCCCATCCCCTCCCCTTCCCCCTCCCCTTCCCTCTCCCTCAACTTCCTCTTTCCCCCCTCCATTCTTTCCCTGCCCCCAAGCACTGTTCCATCTTCTTTCCTCCCGTGGTCCGTTTTTTTCCTCCTCACCCCCCTTCCCCCCCTTTCCCCCCTTCCCCCCCTTCCCCCCCTTCCTCCCCTTCTCTCCTTTCCCCCCTTCCCGAACCCCATTTTCCCCGTCGCTGCCGCCTCGTCCTCCCCTTCAACTCCCCCACCCTGCCCCTCCTTCCCCCCAGGTCATTGCGGTTTCTTTTCCGTGAGATGCGCTTCGAAACACCACAAACCGTTTCCTCTCCTGCCATCCCTCGTCCCCCTCTTCCTCACCCCTTCCTCCTTTCCCCTTTTCCCTCTTTTCCTTTCCCGCCTTCCCGCGTTCCCCGTTTCCCCCTTCCCCCTCGGACCAACCCTCTCCTGCGCTGACCGCGAACCCCTCCGCGTGCCCGCCTCCGACCGACGATGCGCGGCGACGGGCAACCTATCGACCAATCGGAACTCTCCGTGGGGGCGGTTCGTCCGTGGGGTCACCACGCTGAAACACACTCGGCGCGCTTCAGGCGCCGTGGAGTCGCAGGTGCGATTACGGTTCAGTCGCATGCCACGTGGCATCGCTGGTGCGATAAGGTTCAGTCGCACGCCACGTGTGCTCCTTCGCGGAACCCACAAATTCTTCCACGTCATCTGAATATCTAGCCTCACGATGTAACAAGGTGTTCCTATAGACTGTCGGCACTACTAGATGGTTGATCAATCATACAGAACCACTATGGCTTCTAAGGTGGCTTATAAGTAGCGATCCCTCTGTTGGTCAGCCCAGCATCTTAGTGGCATGATCTGCTGCTGACAAGACATGTCACCAACGATTGATGTAACTGTGTCCCACCACCCACGCAGGCACCCCCTTCCCAATCCCCCCCTTCCCCCCACCCACCCCCCACACACACACTCGCGCGCATACACGCACACGAACCATCAGGTGCGCAAGCCCATCAAGTACACGGTGCGGCTGGCGCGCAGCACCTCCCCATGGACATGGGGAATCTCCACCATCCACCCACAGGCCCCTCCCCCCTCCCCCCCACCCCCAACACATCCTCTCACACCCCCTCCATCAGGTGCGCAAGCCCATCAAGTACACGGTGCGGCTAGCGCGCAGCACCCCCCCATGGACATGGGGAATCTCCAACATCCAGCCGCAACACCTTCCCCTTCCCCTTCCCTTTACCTCAACACACACACCCAACACTCTCTCGCTCCCTCCATCAGGTGCGCAAGCCCATCAAGTACACGGTGGGGCTGGCGAAGAGCAAGTCCCCGTGGACGTGGGGCATCTCCACCATCGAGCCGCCCATGAAGATCTACGTCGGTGATGTGCTCGGTGAGTGCAGCGTGTTGATAGAATGGACCTACGTGGAATATCTCATGAACCTACTGTTTCTTCCACAGTATCACACCAGGCCAGACCTACTTGAGATTTCGCATGGCAAGACTGTTTTTTTATTATTGCACAATACCTCACAACTTCACACTTCCCTCCTACACCCCCCCTACCCCCTCATGCAGAGTTCAAGTGGCCAAAACCCAACACGGTGGACGACCAGGTTCTCCAAGGCGGCTTGGACCAGCTGCGACCTACGTCCAAGTCCGAGCTCTCCTCCCTTCCCCCCTCCCCCCTTCCAGAGTTCCAGTGGTCAAGCCCCAACACAGTCGACCATGTGGGCAGCTGTACGCACGCACCCACCACTCCCGTCCTGCCCCTCTCCCCTCTCCTCACTACCCCTTCCAGAATTCAAGTGGGCGAGAGCCAACACAGTAGACGACGTGGCGCAGCTGCCCTTCCCCCAGACGCTCACCACACCCACCCCACACCGCTCCCCACTCCCTCCCACCGCTCCCCATGCAGAGTTCAAGTGGGCGAGTGCCACCACGGTGGACGACGTGGTGCAGCTGTTCTCGAAGTGACTCGTCAGCTGATACTCTGCAAACCCCAACCTCCCCTTCCCCACACCCCTTTGGTGCAGAGTTCAAGTGGGCGAGCACAAACACGGTGGATGACGTGGTGCAGCTGTTCTCCAAGGTATCATGGACCAGCTGCGACCTCGCGACCAAGTCGGAGCGCTTGGCACCGCAGGCCAAGAAGGGCACGGTGGCGTACAAGATCCCCGATAAGTACCGCGGCATGTGGGTCTACTTCGCTAGCTCCGCTGGGATCGACTGCGCCAAGGGGCAGAAGTTCAAGGTGTTTGTGAACTAGTTGGATTCAAAGACGCCTGCACACGTGGACCCAATTAAAAGGTGAATAAGGAATATCTCTGCGCTGTACACACGATTGTGCGAGGATGGGATTGACTCTGTGAAGGGCGAGAGAGAGCTTCAAATGTGTTTGTTAGCTAGGGCCGTGGTCAGCAACAACTCCAATACCGGTACTAGTTTGTACCATGAGAAGCTAAGTGAGTGACTAATGTTACTGGAATTTTGGACACTTATTGAATAAATCATCCATGGCATTAACAGTGTTAGCAAAGCAATACTACGGTACCTAGGTAAATGACAAACCATCTGTGGCAGATGGAGGTTATTCCAGGAGGTACCAGTAGCATGCTGTGATGTGATCACCATATGGTTCCTCCCATTTTCAGCAGAGGTGTCTACTTCGTACTGTAATTCCTCAATCTCCACATTTACCGGTACTAGAGGCGGAGCGCACTCTTTTGGGGTTTGTTTGGATCACCACTTTGAAGATGCATGTGTGCATTATATAGCAACAACTTAGGGCTAGACAGAAAGTACACTCCGAATATCTACCTGGGGTGCACTACGCTTAGTTGGCCGGTGATGTCCGAGGCTGCAACGGGGTTGATGATCGTTATAATCTTAATGCCAATCTAGGCCATCGCATAGGATGGAGCAGGGAGGTTGATGACCGTTGATTTCACTTTGGTCATCATGAGAATGCTGTTGGTGACACCCTGCGACCCTATGCCACTCTCCCGAAAACCCTGAGAGCAAGGGAGGGGCAGGAGGAAAGGAGGGACGGGTGGATGCAGTGTGAAAAGGTGAGCCACAGAAGGGGAGATGCAGTGGGGAGGTGAATTGGGGAAGATGAAAGAGCAATACCGGTAGTGAGCACACTGAAAAGAAGAGGAGGCACTCGGACAAATCAAAGGGCATGCATCCACATGGGACAAGACAAGCGCATACGAGAAGCAAGCAAATGAGCATAAGCCACACGCATGCAAATACTATTGCAGCAGGAGGTGAGTCACCGGAAAGGGAAGTCACCAGGCCCTCTAACAGGGGCTACACGTATGAGCCTGAATGAACGCATGCACGAAAGCAGACTGCTAGCACAAGCCAGTAATTACACGAAAGCAGACTACTAGCACAAGCCAGTAATTACATGCAGTCATGGCAGCAAGGAGCGGCTGACCTGGAAGGGGAAGTGGTCGGGCCCTCTGGCAGGTGCTGCGTTGATCTGCACGGTGCCTGTCTCCATGGCGTCTGCAATCATGATGGCCTTGTTGATGTCCCTCGTGAACACACAGCCCTGGGGGGATGGGGAAGTGGGAGGGGAGGGGAGAGGAGGGTAGGGGAAGATGAGGAGGGAAGAGGAGGGGAGGGGTTGTCAGTTGCAGGAAGTCAGTGGGCAAAGATGCAAGGCATGGGCTGGTGTGCTGCATACCCATCTCCATGGCATTTGCGGCCAAGATGGCCTTGCTGACACGTCGCATAAACATACATTCCTGAGGAAATGGTATGGGAGGGAGGAAGGAAGGGGAGGGAGTGGGGAGAAAGAAGGAGAGGGGGAAATGACACATGTTATGGGTGCTATGGGCTTCGGTTCCATCATGTTTGCTTCCATCAGGTGTGCTTCCGTGATGTGTTCTTCAGACGCTCAGTCACTCGCGTACACATACCCACTCATTGACACACATTAGCTCATGCATACGCAATCACTCACGCCCACAGAAACTCACTCACGCATACGCACTTCACTTATGCACACACGTAAAGTCACTTACACATTCACACACTTGCAAGTGCACAAACATACACGCACTCACATACACGCACTCACATACATGCACTCACATTCACGCACTCACATTCACGCACTCACATTCACGCACTCACATTCACGCACTCACACTCACGCACTCACACTCACGCACTCACATTCACGCACTCACATTCACGCACTCACATTCACGCACTCACATTCACGCACTCACATTCACGCACTCACATTCACGCACTCACACTCACGCACTCACACTCACGCACTCACATTCACGCACTCACATTCACGCACTCACATTCACGCACTCACATTCACGCACTCACATTCACGCACTCACAGTCACGCACTCACACTCACGCACTCACACTCACGCACTCACACTCACGCACTCACACTCACGCACTCACACTCACGCACTCACATTCACGCACTCACATTCACGCACTCACATTCACGCACTCACATTCACGCACTCACACTCACGCACTCACACTCACGCACTCAGACTCACGCACTCACACTCACGCACTCACACTCACGCACTCACATTCACGCACTCACATTCACGCACTCACATTCACGCACTCACAGTCACGCACTCACAGTCACGCACTCACAGTCACGCACTCACACTCACGCACTCACATTCACGCACTCACATTCACGCACTCGCATTCACGCACTCGCATTCACGCACTCGCATTCACGCACTCGCATTCACGCACTCACACTCACGCACTCACACTCACGCACTCACACTCACGCACTCACACTCACGCACTCACATTCACGCACTCACATTCACGCACTCACATTCACACACTCACATTCACGCACTCACATTCACACTCGCATTCACACACCCACACACTCAATCCCGCATGTGTGCGCAGTCAACACACATGCACCCACAGCTAACCTGCAGGGCGAAGGCACTGGCGTTGCTTTGATGCACGCCCTCCTCCATCGTGGTGATGCCAATGGGAAATGCTAACCCTACCTTCCATACTCACACACCCAGTTCCACGCGCATGAACAAGCACCTCCACGATGAAGCTTACACACCCACACCCACACCCACACCCACACCCACCTGCAGAGCGAAGGTGCTGGCGTTGCAGTGGTGCACGCCCTCCTCCACCGTGGTGATGCGGATGACCGGCACCACGGGGCCAAAGGGCTCCTCCCATGCCAGCCGCATGTCCGGGCGCACATGGTCTATGAGGAGCGGCCAGATGAGGTTGCCCTCCCTCTTGTACTCCTGGGAACAAGGGAGATCGAAGGATGTGAATGTGAGGACATGATTATGTGAGGAATATTCCTCTCAGGCCAGGCGCATGTTTCTCAGGGCAGACGTGGTATACTAATGCAATGTGTAGAGAGGTAACTCTCTCGAATGTAACCCTAAACTGGGAAGACTAGATTGGTTGTTTGATGATTGTTCATAATTACTCTCTCAAAAACCAGCTATCACTCATGAACCAGCACAAGCACTCTCTTGGCCGCATTTACACAAAGATACACCCAAAAAAGACCAAATGACTTCAGAGGTGGCTGAAATATAGTCTCGCGTCTCAAAGTGCCTCCAATAACGCCCACCTCCCTCTTGCACTACACCCTCAATAAAACGGACACCCGCACACCCTTCCACCCATTCACCCATACATGCACAATACCACAGGCAAATACACCCATACATGCACAATACCACAGGCAAATACACCCATACATGCACAATACCACAGGCAAATACACCCATACATGCACAATACCACAGGCAAATACACCCATACACCCACCTGGCAGAAGAGCACGCCCTTATCCTTGGCATTCAGCACAAGCCCCTCAATGAAGTTGGCACTCGACTCGCTGACCACTGGCACACACAACCAGCCACACACGGCACAGATATGCAACACCATACCCACCCACCCACACGCACACACCCACAGCCGCACAGTACCGCAGACAAAAGCCTTCAAACACCCACCTGGCAGAAGAGCGCGCCCTTGTCCTTGGCATCCAGCACAAGCCCCTCTATGAAGTTGGCACTCGACTCGCTGACCACCGGGGTGATGTCAGCATCGTCCTCCGGCCGCCCCACCTTAAGCTTCGCCAGCCTGGCATTCACCCGCTCCACCAGCGCATCTGCCACGTCCTCCATCACCAGCACCACCTTCACCGCTGTGCACCGCTGGCCGCTGACGTGGCGCGATGTGATTTGTTGAAGAGGGAAGGAGGGGAAGACAGCAAAAGTAGGTTGAGTATGGTTGGAGTTGAGATGGCAGCAACAGAAAGTAACGAACACTGAAGAGCAAGGTGATCTGGTGAAGGGCTTATCTGGGCACGGGCTTATCTGATAAAGGGGTTACCTGTAGGAGAAGCCTCCTTTGACGATGTTAGCAGCAGCGAGATCGAGGTCAGCGTCGGGCAGCACTATGCAGGCGTCCTTGCCGCCCAGCTCCATCTGCACTGGCACCATGCCCGCCTTGCGACAGATGGATATGCCCGTGTCTCCGCCCGTGAAGCTGCGAGAGAGTAGGGTGGATGCGTGGATGACAGGGGAAAGAGACAAGAGGGTTCCTGTGTTGCCGCATGTGGAGTGTGCTGGGGGTCGGAAGAACGGGAGTGGTACTGCTACTGACTTAGTGCTGATGCAGTTGACGGCACAAAGACAGCACCAAGGCATCGCCTCATCTCACCTCCTCACTGAGTATGTGACAGTAGCAACGCCCCGTGAGGTGAGCAGGGTCCCCATGTCCGATCCCTTACCCTGTCTCGTGCCTCTGCCATATCACCTGATGCAATTGATATATAGCTTTCACCTTTTACCTCTTTCACCTTTTACCTCTTTCACCTTTTACCTCTTTCCCTTCCCACCCAAGACAGTGGACAGAAAGCAACCGCCCATCTCCCACCATTCCATCTCACGTGATGTAGTCAACAGCGGGGTGCATGGTGAGGAAGTACCAATATCCGAACCATCACTCTGTCTCATGCCTCTCCATTTGTGTTGACTTTACGCCTCCATCGCTCCCCATGTCGATTGACTCACGTGATGCAGTCGACAGCGGGGTGCATGGTGAGGAAGTCCCCGATGTCCGACCCCTTGCCAGTGACAGCGCTGATGAGCCCCTTGGGGAACCCCGCCTCCTGGAAGCACCGCACCATGTGCAGCCCTGCCACCGCGCCCTGTTGTGTGGAGTTAGAGGGGAAATCAGGGGCAAGGGTGGTGCATGGGGTGGTGAGGAACAGGGGAATAAGGGATGGAAGTACCGCACCATGTGTAGCCCTGCCACAGTGCGCTGTGGTTTGAGTTTGATGGGCATTCATAGCCACATGTGCATGGAGGATGGATCACGGCACAAGCTCAGGGATGTAAACACAGCACTATGGGAATGCTTCAAACGAAAGTACCTGAATGGGAGGCTTGAGCACAAAGGTTTTGTTTGCGACTTTTGAGATGTCCCAAAATGCGACTTTCGAGATGTCTCAAAATCTGTAAGTACCTGAGTGGGAGGCTTGAGCACAACGGCGTTGCCTGCAATGAGGGCAGGAGCGATCTTGGAGACAGCGAGATTGACGGGGTAGTTGAAGGGCGGGATGCACAGCACTACTCCTAGCGGCACCTGACACACGGGAATGCATGCACGTGATGTTAAGTAAACCCTGTCGCGATGGGGAAGGGCGGATGCACAGGACCATGCCCCACAAGAACCGGCGGCAGGGTTGATATAGATGCAGACGAGTTTAGCTTGGCTGCCATGCACCCACCCACCTTGGCCGCTTTGCACCCACATTGACCGCCTTGCACCCACCTTGGACCCCACGTATGCGCCCACGCACCTTGGAGGCCATGCAGAGCTTGGTGCGGTCGTTGCCAGGGAAGCTGTCTCCTGTGAGGAACTTGCCCTCCGCCAGCTGCCGCACGCCCTCCTCTGCGCAGTACGACATGAAGTCCGCTGACCGCAGCACCTGGGGTTGGAACGACGTTGCTTGTTGATTAGAAGGACGTTGATATGGATGACGGCGATTTGAATGACGTTGATTAGAGAAGGGTTTTCCACGTCATTGGTGCTTACCTCAACCAATAGCTCGCAAGCTCTAGCCCGTGAGACGAAAACAACAGATGCGAACAGTAGGGTGGGGATGAAGTAGGGAACAGGTCCAAAGTGCTCTGGTGTGATCAGCTGGTCGAGGCAAAGTAAATCCGTCCATTCGCGAACTATGTGAGCCGTCACCTACGTAACAAAGCCCTATACGGATCCTTGCATTGTCTTGCGTAGTGGAGTTCCCCTCTCGCCGTGGCGAACTCGTTCATGATGTAAACGGGGATGAGGTCAATGCACTCGCCAGTAATGTGAGTTTCCAACTCACTAACGGGACTGTATCTAAACGTCTCATCGGATTGGTGTTGAAGTTGGAGTGTTGCCCAGGTCTGCTCGGTGACGGGAGACCTTACTCGGTGAGCCTTCACCCTGTAACGGTGTGTATCCATGCGGCATCTCGGTTGAGGTGTCTAAGCCTTACCTCGGTAATGGAATCCTTTCTAGCCTTGGCGACTTCTTTCACGAGGCAGTCGGCGATGGGTTCCTTGTGTTCGCGAAGGATGTGAGCGGCCTTGTGCAGCAGCTCAGCGCGCTTCCACAGCGGCGTCTTGGCCCATTTCTTCTGCGCGACCTTGGCGCTCTCGAACACGCCGTCCACCTCTTCTTCCATGCACGCTACGTGAAAAAAAACGAGGGTGGGACTGGTGGTGTTAGGAACTTAACGCGTAGATCATAACTATCCACCGATACGATGCGAAACGGCATTGCTGGTCTGAAATCGATCAGTGAACCTATTGGCGCGATCCGTTGCATCAGTAGCAGCTCACCTTGAACTCTGTATACTACAGTACGGGTACAGGGATTTATAATGTTGACTGTTTTCCCTGAAGGTGACGTTTTCCATTCGCCATGCGCGAAGTACTTATACACGTCTCCGTCGACGATGTCTGCATAGAAACCGCTTCCAGCCTTCTCCTCCGCCATGGATTCAGAGTGACAGTAACGATATGAGAATACAGTAATAAACAATCGCAAGTTGCGTAGAGGCTGCTTCCCCTAACGTCCGACGCAACTCCGTCAGTTGCGTGCTTCTGTCGTGAAGGTCACGGAGCAAGCCAATTTAGGAGCGGCTGAATGCCCTCGTAATCGCCTCGCCAGTCTGGTAAAATTGAAGCTCTGATGGAAATGCGACTCACAGGAGATTAATTCCACGATAAGGATTCATGCCATGTGGAGGGAGGTGGTTCTCCCCTTGGGTTTGGGAGATTGATGCACTGGAGTGGAGGCGGGAGGCCGCTGCTGCGTGTGATTGGTTGTTAGCACAGCAAGGAGAATACCGAGGCATCTTCTTGGAACTCAGGGCGTGTGCGATCGTACGGTACAGTGACGAAAGTGAGAAGGTACACCTCCATGTTTCGGTTACTTGAAGTACAACTTGTATGGAGGTTCCGTTGCTCGAATGGGTGTACGCGGCGCTCGTCAGGTTTTTTCAACGGTCCGACTATTTGAGTTGCTGCTTACCTCAGCATGGCTGCTTGGTTGCGAAGAGGAGGGGCGCATTCTGACAACTTTGCTGGTTTGGTTTATCTGCCCTGACCAAGCCGGGCAGATTGCGTCACAAACGCTCAGAAGGCCCATTCGTTGGATGATGGACGGCACCGTGTTTGAATTTTCTGATGCTCAAGCAACTGAACCGTGTCACCAAAACCTGATGGCACCACTGACTGCGAAATCAGGGATGATTCTACAAATACATTTTTTTGTCAATATGCCTTTTATCTTTGCGTTTGAAGCATATAATAAAGCGTACACTCTGACCACATGAAGTCGGCGGCGCTTACTAGCAACTCCTCGTGAAGGCAGGAGGATACCTTTCCGCCGCCATTGTCAGTGCCTGGACACCATGCAATCCCAGAGAACCAGTGAGCGGCAGCTTAGCCTGGCTGAGGAGGCTGAAGCTGCTCGGTTGACTCCAACGATGAAACTGCTCCCTACAAGCACCAGTCACACTCGAACGTGGTTCCAGTTGGTAGTATTAGTGGACAGCAAAATCTCACAGGCTGTCAAGAAGCTTGCTTGTACGGCAACGCTCACGTGCCCTCGGTTAGCTTCTCTGCCGTTCTGAAATGGACTTAGCCGTAGCGATGAGCACGATTATGGATACGCCAACAAGGAGTCCATTTCTATTGAAGAGCAAGTTGAAGACCCCCGGAAAGACAGGAGGTCCAGCTTCGTTATGCAGATCGGGAACCAGCAGCAAATATGGTCAGAAAGCGCCGGAATCCTTGGTCAAGGCGGGATGCAGCCACCTCAAGGCAAAACCTACAGCAACGCCAGTACCTTCGGTGAAGAAAGCATATAAGAAGGTTGGGATAACGCCCAAAACACCATTCGCGACCCCGAAGTCGACAGAGGTATGGGTTTGGAGTCACGTTTCTTGTATTCCTCCCAAAGTTCCATACAGCTGATTGAATTCAATGTTTGGCTGCAGGGCGACCGTTTCATTCCAAGCCGCAGCTACATGAATATGGACGTCTCAGCGTTCTCAATCCGTGGTGGTTTCGACAAGAGAGAATCCACGAAGCCCATCTCTCCAGGCTCTGTAAGTGATTCTGTTATGACTGCTGACATGCTCGACTTTAATGAACTAACATGTTCTCAATGTGTGTTATCATAACCAGGAGAATTATCGAAAGCGACTTGAAGGATTGATGTCGAGATGTATAGAAGACGGAGAAGGAAGCTTGGCAAGGAAGCCAAGAGTATTATCATTCAAAGTGAAGGCACGTGCTGAGTCAAACAATGGTATTGACAGCTCCACCAAAATGGCCAGAGGCAGTGACGTTTCAGGATGTCAGCCCCCTCCTCGCGTGATACCTCAGGTGAATATTCTGATGACATGTAGAACGAAGATATATTATGCGTGAAACATTACTGACTCTAAAACTGTTCTTTTTTCTCAGGTGGCAGAGAAGACGCTGGACGCGCCTGGAGTGGTGAACAACTTCTACCTCCAATTGATAGATTGGAGCATCTCCAACTTGGTTGCTGTAGCGATCGGAACCTCGGTGTTTATCTGGAATGGCAAGAATGAATCTATGGAGCTCATGACTGTTGAAACGGAGGATGAACTACCAGAATCTCCCTATGTGACAGGAGTCTCTTGGGCTCCTGATGGCGTACACTTGGCGATAGGGGTCAGCAATTCCGAAGTCCGAGTCTGGAACGTCTCCATCCCTAAACAGGCCAGTATCTGCTGCAAACGCTCCCGAGTCAGTAAATCTGTTGAGGTACACGTTCTTGAGAATCCTGACTGACTGCTGCTTGGCCATAAACTGCAGGTCCGTACCTTCAAGGGGCATTCGGGACCTATTTGTGCATTGGACTGGTACAAGACACTCTTATCAACCGGCGATAATGCTGGAACAATCATCAACCATGATGGTAAGCCATGGCTTCCTGTGCAACACACAACCAGCACGTCCACTCAAACCGGATAGAAAATACTCACCTTTGTGAATAGCAGCTATTTTGAAGCGTACATTCCAGCTTAACATTTGTCCTATCTTTCTTAAACAGTTCGCGCCCGGGAGCACATCGTCTCGCGTCTCATGGCCCATCCTGAGGGGGTATGCGGACTGAAGTGGGCTCCGTCTGGACGCCAGCTCGCCAGCGGGGGAGACGACAACCTCGTGCACATCTGGGACACAGCTCTCATGTCGTCTTCCACGGCACCAGACGCTGCTGGCCGCCGCGATGGAGAAGGTCGTCGGAGGACGAACCCAAGCTCTGCTGCTACTAGTGCCACGGGATCCCACGTGCCTTTGCTTCATCGATTCGCGGATCACCGCGGAGCGGTTAAGGCTCTCGCGTGGTGTCCTTTCCGAACGCACCTGCTGGCGACAGGAGGCGGTGCGAACGACTGCACCATCCGGTTTTGGAACACTCAGACTGGCGCGTGCGAGAAACATGTCGACGCAGAGTCGCAGGTAAACAATCGCACGGTTGACATGGCAAGTTACACTGACGATCAATCTCTGGTCGGTTTGTTATTCTGGCTTTCGAGAATAAATCCAGTCACTAATCCTTCGTTGTGTTTTTCAGGTCACGGGCTTGCACTGGAGCAAGAAGGATCGTGAGATCGTAAGCGCGCATGGCTATCTGGGAGCGAACACGAACCAGCTGATCGTTTGGAAGTATCCGTCTCTCGTACCGCTGGCCCGACTTAAAGGGCACCAGGACCGTGTGGTGTCAACTGCGCAGGTAAGCGATCGCTGAGCACTCATGCGCCCCCCTTAACATGCGCTAATGTGCCTCGTTTACATTCCATGGCAGGCTCCTGAAGGTGACATCATAGCTTCCCTCTCGGCTGATGAGTCTCTCCGCATCTGGCGGGCGTTCAATCCTAAAACTGCTGCTGCTGGGACTGCTAGGACTGGAAGCGGGACGACCAAGAGGGAAATCGAGGGAGGGATGATAGCAGGCAGTGGGTTTGTGAAATCTCAGATTCGCTAGTATGTGACTCGTTTGAGAGGAATAATGCTTTCAGCTACAACTCGCTGAGATGCTTAGTGATTAGATTAACAAACTAACGGTTAGGTACACCAATCAATCTTGCGAGGTATTTATTCGTATAATATAGAAGGCTTTCATTTCGCCTTAGTACAATTATTATTTTCTCCACGCAAAGTCAGACATTGGACTAGCATAAACGAAGGAAAGTGTGAAGGTGGAGAGGGAACAAGCACTCTCCTGCACTTGTGAAACAGGTGCAAAACCCGAACTGTCAAACCTCTTCCCTCGACCAGGTTGAAACCACTTCTCAGCGCCATTTGCTTTCCATCACCATTTCCAGGTCGAGGGGTTGTTTCTTGGAGCACTAAGAACAGATGGACGGGGGCGAAACGGAAAGCATGTTTCCGTCAGAAGACGTCGGAATGGCCTTCGCTCCTGTGTCGGGGCAAGGCGCGAAGAAGAAGAAATCGAAATCGTTCGGATTCGAAAGCATGGGCCTGAGCGCCGCCGTGTACCGCGCCGTGCGGCGCAAGGGCTACCAGGTGCCGACGCCCATCCAGCGGCGAACGCTGCCGATGGTGCTGGCGGGGCAGGACGTGGTCGCCATGGCGCGCACCGGGTCTGGCAAAACGGCGGCGTTTCTCATTCCCATGATCGAGCGGCTCAAAGCGCACTCGAACACGAGCGGGATTCGCGCCGTGATTCTCTCTCCTACGAGGTGCGACGGTGGTGAAGGAGGGGGTGGGAGTGGGGAGCGAATTGGCGTTGGTGGAACCGTTATGATGTCTTTCGAACCGTTTCGTAAGGGGGTTCAATGCGGGAATGCGCATTGAGTTTAATGGGGAGTTAAGAGAATATATTATCGCCGCTTCCTAGTACGTGGAGATGCTAACCATGCTGCCTCAACCCTCTCACTGCATGAAGGGTTGAGGTGCTAGCGATGTATAGACCAAGGGGTCCCGGGTTTAGCCTTTTGCGCCGCTGTCAGCTCGTACTGAGTTGAATGGTCTACGGACTAGTGAGTAAACATAGGCTAGGGTTCAGGGGTTAACGGGTGGAATGTTGAAGGGTTCAGGGTTCAACTACCACCAGTTTTCTCGGATGTTTTTTAATTAGCGCGTGTGGAAGTGATATTCTGGCTTAGCGAAAACGGCCAACAACGAAACTAGAAGGCTAGCCTCGTTCCTTACATACCCTGCTAAATTTGCCTTGCTGGTTCCGCCCCCTGATTTTCCCATTTCCGCCACCACCCACCCAGAGAGCAGGCGGTCACGGTCAACAGGGTGCTCGACAGACTCACACATCCCCGGACGGCACTGCAGGGCCTGTAGGAGGAGACTAGACAGCAATTTGAGGAGCAGACAATGCGAAGGAACACCTTCTTTTCATGCCTTGGGGCGCTCATCCTTTCCCGCTCATCCCTCCCTCCCTGCCTCCTCACGTGCCCCACCCACCCACCCACCCACGCACCCACGCACCACCCCGAGAGCTGGACCTACAGACGTTCAGGTTCACCAAGGAGTTGGGTCAGGTGGTATACCAGGTGGCAGTATGGTTGACTGCTTTCTCTTCCTGCTCATCGCCTGCTTGCATCCATTTGCCCCAACCACCCACACACCCACCCACCCATCCACACACCCACCCAACCACCCACACACCCACCCATTGACCCTGAGAGTTGGCCCTACAGACGTTCAAGGTCACCAAGGAGCTCGGCAAACTCACCGACCTCCGAGCGATAGGCGCCGAGCTGAGAGCATGGAGTGTTCAACCCTGCTTGTCCCCCCCTGTTGTTTCTCCACCTTCCCCAACCACCCACCCAGAGAGCTGGCGCTACAGACGTTCAAATTCACCAAGGAGCTGGGGAAATTCACCGACCTCCGAGCCGCTGTACTCATGGGGAAAAAATCATTTGGAGGCACTGGAATTGTGGCAACCTGCATTTCTTGCCGCGTTCTCATCCCTGCTTGTCCCTCCCTGCTCTATCGTAACTTTTTCCAACCACCCATCCAGAGAGCTGGCACTACAGACGTTCAAGTTCACCAAGGAGCTGAGCAAATTCACCGACCTCCGAGCGGCCGTGCTGGTGGGGGGAGACAGCATGGAGGGGCAGTTCGAGGCGCTCTCGCGCAACCCGGACATTCTCGTTGCGACACCTGGCAGGCTCATGCACCACCTTGCTGAGGTGGAGGGTATGAGCCTTAAATCTATAGAGTACGTTGTTTTTGATGAGGCTGACCGGCTTTTTGAGATGGGGTTTGCGGTCCAGCTGAAGGAAATTTTGCGCGGGATGCCCGAGTCGCGCCAGACGCTGCTTTTTTCGGCTACGCTGCCCAAGATGCTTGCGGAGTTCGCCCGGGCAGGTTTGAGGGAGCCACAGCTGATCCGATTGGACACAGAGACGAAGCTGAGCCCTGATCTGGCGCTTTGTTTTTTCACGGTCAGACCGCATGAGAAAATGGCCGCCCTTCTGCATTTGCTTCAGGAGGTTATTCAGGTGGGGTCAGCGGCAAGTGGGGGTGGAAGGGAAATAAGGGAAGAGGGGGAGGACGAGGAAGAATTAGGAGAAGAAAGGGAAGATGAAGCAAGAGAAAGGGAGGGGAGAAGGAGGGGGTTTGCTGGGAGGGGCAATGGAAAGCAAACAATTATATTCGTGGCAACAAAGCATCATGCTGAGCTGTTACACGAAGTGTTACAGTCCGAGCGGTTACCATCGTCGGTAGTTTACGGTGCCATGGACCAAACTGCCCGAAAAATCCACATCGCCAAGTTCCGGGCAGGGAGAACATCTCTCCTCATTGTGACCGACGTTGCTGCCCGAGGTATCGACATCCCTCTCCTCGACAACGTCATAAATTTCGACTTCCCGCCCAAGCCGAAACTTTTTGTGCATCGGGCAGGCCGAGCAGCGCGCGCGGGCCGTTCGGGCACCGCATATTCTTTTTTCACGGCAGAAGAGCTGCCCTTCGTGCTCGACCTGCACCTTTTCCTCTCCAAACCGATCCGCCCGGCGCCGCTAGATTCCGAGATCGAGGCGACAGGTGGCGCGAGCCTATTGGCCGCAAAGGAAGCACAGGAGCGGGGGGAGACAGTCTACGGTAGATACATTCAAACCGAGCTGGACCGTTATCTGGAGAGGCTGAGGGAGCTGGAGAGTTCAAGTGTGGCTGTGGGAATGCTGCAGAAGGTGGCAGGGAAGGCCATGAAGCTGTACCTGAGAACACGGCCAGCGGCGTCGAACGAGAGTGCGAAGCGGAGCAAGGCGCTGGCAGGGAGGGAGGGCGTGCATCTGCTGCTGAGGGAGCGCTTGGGCGGGCTTGAGTCGGCTGCTGCTGCTTTCGCGGAACACCTCAAGAAGTTCAGGTGAGAGGGGCAATGGGTGGCGGTGGGGGGCGGTGGGGGGAAGAGGGATGGGGACGGGTGTGTGAAGAGGCAGGTGGGCAATGCTTGCTGTGAGAGAACAGGGAGGGTGTGTGACTATCAGCGGACAATAGTGGGGTGGAGGGAGGGCGTGCATCTGCTGCTGAGGGAGCGTGTGGGCGGGCTGGAGGCTGCTGCTGCTGCTGCTGCTGCTGCTTTTGCGGAACACCTCAAGAAGTTCAGGTGAAGGGGTCGGTGGGGGGCGGTGGGGGCCAGTGGGGGACGGTGGGGGAGAGAAGTGGTGGGGGGACATTGGGGGGCGTTAGGAGGAAGGGGGGTAGGGAAAACGGCTAGGTAGAGAGGGTGGAGGGGTGGCCACGTGGTGGGCGAAATGGAATGGGTAGGGAGTGCTTTTGAGGCGCCTCAAAAGGGAGTGTGAGGTTACTCCTACCTCTTCCCAACTCCTCACGTTCTTTGTTTCTCGCCTCCCTCCCCCTTGCCTCCCTCCACTTGTCCTTTTGCCCTGCCTCACTCACAATGATTGATGCTTGTGTGTATGTACGTGTGTGTGTCTCTGTTGGTGGGGTATGTGTGAATGTGTGTGTGTGTGTGCATGGTGGTGTGTGCATGTGTGTGTGCATGTGTGCGTGTTCAAATGCAACATACATGCTTGTGTGTGGGTGTGTGTGTACATGCGTTTTCATGCATGCAGGCCAAAGCAGACCGTCCTGGAGCTCGAGGCAGAAGCAGCCACGGCGAAGAAGAAAGTGGTGCGTTGCGGTGGGAAGAGATGTGAATGGAGCTGGGGGAAGAGAGGAGGGAGGAGAGGAGAGAGAGGAGAGTGGAGGAGAGGACAGGAGAGGAGAGGGAGGAGAGGAGAGGAGATCGAGGAGAGAGGATACGAGAGAGAGAAAAGGAGAGGAGAGAGAGGAGAGGAGAGGAGTGAGAGGATAGAAGTGAGGAGAGGAGAGAGAGGAAAGAGGAGAGTGAAGGATAGCAAAGGAGAGGAGAATTGAGGAGAGGGCAGCAGAGAGCGGAGAGGAGGGAGAAGAGGAGAGAGGTGAGGAGACAAGAGGTGAGAGGAGTGGGGAGAGTGTAAACGAGAGTGGATATGATTGAGCGAGAGGAGTGGGGAGAGTGTAAACGAGAGTGGAGATGATTGAGCGAGAGGAGTGGGGAGAGTGTAAACGAGAGTGGAGATGATTGAGCGAGAGGAGTGGGGAGAGTGTAAACGAGAGTGGAGATGATTGAGCGAGAGGAGTGGGGAGAGTGTAAACGAGAGTGGAGATGATTGAGCGAGAGGCGTTTCCTTTCCTCCGTCCCTTTCTTCTCCGCTCCTGTTTCCCTGTGTGTCGGTCGTGCAGGGGGCAGACCGATGGTCGTGCACCAGATGACGCACCATATCCATCCTGGTGCATCGGTTGTGCTGGGCGCTGTGACAGCAGAGATGGATATGTTGTGGGCCAAGAGAGAGGCGCACCAGACGGGAGTCAATATGCCCTTTCCATCTCCCTTCCCATCTCCCTTCCCATCTCCCTTCCCATCTCCCTTCCCATCTCCCTTCCCATCTCCCTTCCCATCTCCCTTCCCATCTCCCTTCCCATCTCCCTTCCCATCTCCCTTCCCATCTCCCTTCCCATCTCCCTTCCCATTTCCCTTCCCATTTCCCTTCCCATTTCCCTTCCCATCTCCCTTCCCATCTCCCTTCCCATCTCCCTTCCCATCTCCCTTCCCATCTCCCTTCCCATCTCCCTTCCCATCTCCCTTCCCATCTCCCTTCCCATTTCCCTTCCATCTCCCTTCCCATCTCCCTTCCCATCTCCCTTCCCATCTCCCTTCCCATTTCCCTTCCCATCTCCCTTCCCATCTCCCTTCCCATCTCCCTTCCCATCTCCCTTCCCATCTCCCTTCCCATCTCCCTTCCCATCTCCCTTCCCCATCTCGCTTCCCCAACTTCCTCCCGCCCTCAACCCAAGGCCCCATAGCGGCGGGGTTGGATGTGAATTGTGGTGTGTGCAAAGAGGGAGGCGCACCATCAGCATTCCCCTTCTGCTTCCCGCTCGCCCCCTTTCCTGCTTCTCACTTCGTCTCCTCTCCTCGCGTCATCCTCCTGGCTTACCCCGGGGCCGATAGCAGCGGGATTGGATGTATTGGGGGCGTTAAGAAGGAGGCCCCAGACAGCCATCAGAAATCCCTTTCCCCCTCTTCCCTTCCCACTTCCCTTTTCCTCGTGTGATGAGGCGATTTTTGAGTCGACTCAAAAATCACCTTCCCACTTGCCTTTTCCTGTCTTTCACCTCCATTACCTCTCTCCGTATCCCTCCTCATGCGCCTCCCGCCCTCACCTCACCTCAGTGCCCCATAGCAGCGGGATTGGATGTGATGAGGGCGAAGAGGGAGGCGCACCAGACAGCCATCAGCAATGCTTTCCCCCCCTTTCACCCTTTCCTTTCTTCCTTACGTTGCCCTTCATTGCCTCTCTCCATCCCGCCCTCACCCCAGGGCCCCATAGCAGCGGGGTTGGATGTGATGAGGGCGAAGAGGGAGGCGCACCAGACAGCCATCAGCAAGAGGCGAGACAAGCTGGTGGCGGAGGGCCGCGAGGTGTGGGGCCATGGGCTGGGGGACGATGGGGAGGAGGATGAGGAGGTGGGTGGAGAGGTGGACGAGGGGGAGGGAGAGGAAGGGGAGGAGTTAGAGGAGGGAGAGGAGGGAGAAGAGGGGGAGGAGGATGACGAGGAGGATGATGATGAATTTACTGGTGTTTTGGAGGAGGATGAGGGAGAGGATGAAGGGGAAGAGGGAGGGGAGGAGGATGGATTGGTGGAGATGGGTGATGATAGTGATGGAGAGGGGGAGGCGGGTGGGGGGAAAAGGAAGAGGAAGGAGGGGGAGGGGCGAGGGGGAGGCGGGCAGGGGAGGGGGGCGAAGAGGGAGAAGCCAACGACCTTCAAGGACGACCAGTTCTTTATCAACAGCATCCCACCCAACAGGGTAAGAGGCTAAATTGCACACACTTTGAATGATTGAATAGGTAGTTACAGGTCTTTCCTGTTTTTTTTTTTTTTGTTTTTTTTTGCTTTTTTTCTTTAATATGTTTATTTAATTTGTGAAGCATGTTACATATGCTCTCCTTTTTTATTCTGCATTCCACCGTCCAGCATTGGGAGAGTGGCCTTTCAGTCAACGGGCGGCCCAAGAACGAGTTCTCAGCTGAAGTGCAAAAGTATGCCTCACCTCACCTCACCTCACCTCACCTCACCTCACCTCACCTCACCTCACCTCACCACACCTCACCTCACCTCATCTCATGTAGCGCAGACGTTTTGAGCCAGTGTTTTTTCTTGGCAAGTTCTGTGGACATACTTCTTACAATTCCCCTGCTGTCCCCTCTCATACCTCTGCCGTTGCCACTCATGTCCCTGCCACCCTCTCATGTCCCTGCCACCCTCTCATGTCCCTGCCACTCTCTCAAGCACCTACCATGTGTTTTATATAAAACAATGATCCCTTTCACTCAATGCTCCCTTTCCCCCCTCCGCCCCTCTTTCTTCGTCCTCCTCCTGATAGTTAGCAACCACAATTTCTCTTCCTCCTGCGTCCTTCTCTCCCTCCCCCTCCCCACTCCCCTCTCCCCTGCAGCTTCGAGGCAGAGGTGCTGAATCTGGCTCCTGATGACAGTGCAGGCCTTCGAGTCGCTGCTAAAGCCCCCCATCTCTTTCCGTTCAACTCCTCCCTCCTCCCCATTCCCCCACCTCCCCACACTCCGCCCCCCCCTGCAGGTTTGAGGCAGAGGTGCTGGATCTGGCACCTGATGATGGCGAAGGGGCGCAGAAGAGGAAATCAGTGTTTCACTGGGATAAGGTACAGTGTTCCACTGGGATAAGGTACAGTGTTCCACTGGGATAAGGTACAGTGTTCCACTGGGATAAGGTACAGTGTTCCACTGGGATAAGGTGCAGTGTTTCCTGCAGATTTGACATAGCGTACATAGAATAATGGTGCAGCATGTCTCATATTGCTTGTGGCTTGTCCTGTTGGTGGATTTTATTTGTTTGTTTGTTTGTTTGTTTGTTTTTTTTCTCTCTAGAGTACAGTACAGATAACTCGCAAGATTTTATAATAATTGATAAAAATTGCCTTTCCCTGATAGGTAGAGTGTACAACGTTCCTCTATTTATATGCAGTGTGCATTTTTGTAAGCTTCAATGTACCACTGGCCACTGACCAATGATGCACCTCACACCTTCTCTGACCATCCGGCTTACCGCCCTTCTCCCTCCTTTCCCCACCATCCCTACCCTCACGCGACATTCTATCCTTACCCCTTGCTTTGGAGTAGCAAAGCAAGAACCACTTTTAGGAAAGGCACAATCACCTTCAACACTTCTCCTCTCCACCGCCTCCCACTCCCCTCCACCCCTTCCCACCCTGGCATGGCATGTGAGCAGAAGAGCAAGAAGTATGTCAAGCTGAACCCTGGAGAGACCCTGGGTCCGTCGGGCAAGGTGAGTTGGTGTGGCAAGGGTGACTGCAAGCTGCTTTCCATTGCCATGGGCACTCTTCTTCATTGTGGTGCGAGTGTTACTCGCTCTTTAAAGCAGCATCGACAGGCTCTCTGCTCTCGTCTCGTCTCTATGAGTTATACAAGCTCATGAATATATTCTTCTGATGCCCTTGGCAGGTGCGCACGGAGAGTGGCACCAAGACCAGCGCGGGCAGCAAGGGCATCTACAAGCGGTGGAAGGAGAAGACGCACATGCGCGTGGGCGGCAGAGGGCCACGTGGCAGCGCTGGATTGGACGCTGGCGAGGATGCTGGAGGTGCTGGCGGCTTCTCGAGGGGGAGGGGAGGAGGAAGAGGGGGGAGAGCGGGGAGAGGAGGTGAGTGGCATGGGTGGGAGTTGTTTGTGGCATGGGTGGATGGGGGTGAGTGGTGGGGTTTGAAACACAGATGTTCTTTTAACCCTGTCATCCCTTCTCACCCCTTGTCACCAATTGATGTTTGAAACCAAGGATCCTTCCTTACCCTGTCACACCCTGTCACCCCCTGTCACCCCCTGTCAACCCCTGTCACCCCCTGTCACCCCCCGTCAACCCCTGTCACCCCCTGTCAACCCCTGTCAAACCCAATCACTCCGTCACCGCACCATTCCGTGCTGCAGGCATGTCAGGCAGAGGAGGGGCGGGCGGGCGAGTGAGGGATGAGCTGCGCAGCGTGGATGAGGTGCGGAAGATGCGCCAGACTGCCATCGCTAGAGGGGGCGGGGGGAGAGGAGGGAGTGGAGGGAGAGGAGGGGGTGGAGGGAGAGGAGGGGGTGGAGGGAGAGGAGGGGGTGGAGGGAGAGGAGGGGGTGGAGGAAGGGGTGGGAGTGGAGGGAGGGGAGGAAGGGGAGGGAGCAGAGGGAGGGGAGGGAGTGGAGGGAGGGGTGGAGGGAGGGGAAGGGGTGGAGGAAGGTCGAGTTCTAGTGGGAGAGGGGTTGGTAGAGGGGGCAAAGGCAAGATGGGAAGGGGTGGGAATCGTATGTAGTTTAGTTTGTGCCACTCTTAGGATGAGTAAGCATATGGGCAATGGGGTGGGAATCGTACGTAGGTTACTAGTTTGTGCCACTCTTACAATGAGCATGCATATGGGCAATGGGATTCATTGTGCCTTAATGTCCCTTGTGCGATGATATTACAATTGGTGAGAAACCTGATTTTTGTAGTTATCAAGAGCCAGCAAATGAGCAAATGGGTGCTAGTTCAACAATATAGAGCTGCATTGTACTTTCCAGTATTTGTTTAGATGTTACTCTGAACTTAGTCACTCATGTTTCACCGAATTCGTGTTACCACCCCCTCGGTGTGTCGCGAGCCTCGATTTCATCCGCCAAACCAGATTATTGCGAGCAACAAAGCAACAGCCAGCCTTCCCGCTTCCCACTGGTTTGCCTGACCTTCCTGCTGGAGGGAATGTGAAGGAGCATCGCAGATCTGCGCATGTTTGGTGTAGTGCTGTCTCAGCGTCCGTGAATACGGTGCCTAGTCTTCCTGCCCACTGATTCGCCGGGATCAGCTGCACAACTAGGGATCATCCTTGATCTAGCTATGCTTGTGTTAGCATCGCGGAATGCGTAGATTTGTCTTCGATTTCCGTGTTTCTAATTAGGGCGAAGCCTCATTCAGGATTTGACCGGTTTCCGTTGCGCTAGTTGTGTGATTTGGTTAGGAAGGGTTTGGATCCTGATTCTCGACGTCTGACCTCACATCTCTGGTCTTGGCAAGATGGTGCGTTAGATTCGGCGTAATTTACTCGTTCATGCAGTTTCTTGTTCCACTCGCTTTAGACTGACGACTTAGTTTCTCTCGTGCAGGTGGTCCTGTCAGCTGCGATCATCAGCAAGACGGGAAAAGGCATGTTACTATCAATTTACCTGTCGTCCTTAAATCCACTAGCGATTAGCTGCCCAGCTAAACCTATTTTCTAGAATGTTATTAGCGAGCGTCATTTTCTCATACGCGTGGTATTTTGTTGGTTGCTGCAGCATTGGTGGCTCGACAATTTGTAGACATGGCTCGGATTCGCATCGAAGGGTTGCTTGCAGCTTTCCCTAAACTCATTGGAAGCGGGAAGCAGCACACGTTCGTCGAGACGGAGAATGTGCGATATGTGTATCAATCACTCGAAGGTCTCTATTTACTGCTCGTCACGAACAAGCAAAGCAACATCTTAGAAGATCTCGAGACTCTTCGCCTACTATCGAAGCTCGTAAGTCAATCACTAATCAGCCAAGCTCTTTGCTTCATGCCCTAACAAATAAAAATCCGAGTTTCCGGTGTCATTACCTGATCTGATCCGTGAATCCCTGTCTCCTGGCTGTGTAGCACCTAACAGACGTCCCTTTTTCAATACCTCTGACATTCCAGGTACCTGAGTATTGTCCAGGATTGGACGAGGAATCCGTGTGTCACATGGCCTTCGAGCTCATATTCGCGTTCGACGAGGTCATTTCGCTGGGCCACAAGGAGAACGTGACTATAGCGCAGGTGAAGCAGTACACGGAGATGGAGAGCACGGCGGAGAAGCAGTACAAGGCGGACATGCTGAGCAAGATCAACGAGACCAAGGACCTCATGAAGAAGAAGGCGCAGGAGATCGAGAAGCTCCGGGTACAGCCAACCACATTTGTTTACTATCTCATCTGCTTATTCTCTCTAACACACGATTCTTGCATCCGAGCTGCTTGTCATGCTTTGCCACCGTCGATTGCCTGCGATCGGCGGTCTTTGGGTCTCCCTCTTTGTTTTATCTCGTTTTTCTGACACGCCGTTGGCAGGCGGACAAGAGAGTCGATCGTGGGGGGATTTCTGGCGGGTTGTCCAGCATGGGTCCGGGCGGGGGAGGTCAGATGTCCATAAACAATGGCTTCCCGGAGATGGGCAGGATGGGAGGCGGTGGAGGGTTCGGAGCTCCCGTTTCATCTGGTCCAGAACCCGGTGCGTGCTTAGGTCGAACCCGGTACGTGGGTAGGCGATACTCGAACTTGGTACGCGCGTAGTGATATTCGAACCTTACATCCTCAGGCAATAGTCAAAGCTGGTACATACTCGAACCCGACACATCCAATTCGACTCACGATCCTGGTATGTGTCCTGTAAATACTCGACCGTGATACGTGCGTAAGCAGCAGTCGGTTCGACTATGTGCTTGTGAACTAGGCGTGTACAGCCCGATAGTCGAAAGCACTTTAACCGTGTACATGCAATCTGGGTGATGTTCGAGACTGGTACCATGCGATAGTAAGGACGCTTCAACCACTGCCACCCGGATTTTTGGAGAAATGGCGTGGCGATCCGTCATTCCACTGGTATTCCCTCAAAACAGATCCCCCGCGTTCAAACCACACGTCCGCAGTCAGATCCCTCCCCCGCGTTCAAACCACACCCGGTTCCCCCCCTCCTTCACCATCCCACAGGGCGGGCGGGCGGGAGTATGGCGGCGCCGTCCAAGGGCATGGGCATGAAGCTGGGCAAGTCCACCAAGACGAACCAGTTCCTCGAGTCGCTCAAGGCGGAGGGCGAGAACATCGTCGAGGACGTCATGTCCGCCGTCGCTGGTCCGGGTGTCGCGGGCGCTGCTGCTGGCGGGCCAGCGGCGTTCGTGGCGACGGACCCGATCACGATCCTGGTGGAGGAGAAGGTGGTGGTGGTGTGGAAGCGCGACGGCGGGCTGGAGAACATGGAGGTGCAGGGCACCATGGCGCTCACCGTGCTCAAGGAAGAAGACGCCTTCATCCGCATCCAGGTGCGTTGACGGGGGTGGAGGAGTACGTGGAGAGCTTGTGAATTGCGAGTGCAGCGTCTGTGTCTTGTACGTGGAGCGCTGGTGTCCTCTGGGCCTGTGTGTGGAGCGCTGGTGTCTAGTGTGGTGACTGTTGAGTCAACTCAAGCGGGCTGGAGAACACGGAGGTGCAGGGCACCATGCGCTCACCGTGCTCAAGGAGGACGACGCCTTCATCTGCATCCAGGTGCGTTCGGGCGGGACTGTGGCAGCGGTCTGGGCAGGCATGTGTGGGGAGTTTGTGACTTGCGTGTGGTGTGGAGCGCTTGGGACTGGTGTGTAGAGCGGTTGTCATTTGTGTGTGAAGTGCTGGTCCTTTTTGTGTGGAGTAATTGTTACTTGTGTGCGGAGCGGTTGTCATTTGTGTGTGAAGTGCTGGTCCTTTTTGTGTGGAGTAATTGTTACTTGTGTGCGGAGCGGTTGTCATTTGTGTGTGAAGCGCTTGTGTGTATGGATTGATTGTAAGCTGTGGAACGTAGGGTCTATGGGGCTCTGCTCGTGTGATACCTATCTGCTGCTTTCCTTTGTTCCTGGTTGACCCTGATGCAGATCGAGGGCGGGCATGACAAGAGCTTCCAATTCAAGACGCATCCGAACATTGACAAGGCGCTGTACGGCAGCCAGAATATCCTGGGCCTCAAGGACCCCAACCGACCCTTCCCCACCGGCAGCCCGCTCGGCATCCTTAAGTGGCGCATGCAGTCCAAGGACGAGACCGTCGTCCCCATCAGCAGTACGCCCCGCTCCCTTTTCTCTCTCCCTCCGTTTCTCTATCCTCTCTTTTTCAATCTCCACGAAATAAATTCCAGATTCTTGTTGCTGAAACGTCTTTGGTAGTTGTAAGTCTTTTGTGCGGGTCGTCTTTCCTGGGCTGTGTCCTTATCATTCTCCCTCGGTTACCGCCTTAGCCCCATGGCCTGCCGCCTGCCTCATCCGTCCTCCCTTCAACCAGTCCATACCATGGCGTGCCTCATATCATGACCCTGGGAGTCTGGGGCGGACATGTGCGTGAGCACATTCCATTCTGCCCTTCCTCGTGCCACATACTTGTGCATCATTCAACCCGGTGTACTTAGCCTCCCCATACCTCGTGGTCGTGCCCCTGTTCCACACGGTTTCCGTTTCGACAGCCAACTGGTGGCTGTCAGATTTGGGGTGAATACACACGTGAGCATTGAGTATGAAGCCTCTCAGGCCGTTACACCCTTTTGCCTGGCGTGCAACCCTCTAGTTCCCCCTTGGTTCCCATTCCCTTGGTTTTCAGCTGTGCTTCCTCTACCTGCAGTCAAGTGCTGGGCATCAGTGCCTTGCTCAAACACCTATGCGAACCATAGAGTGCTATACCACACAGGCTTTTCTCTAAGCGCTTAAATTGCCCTTTCCTATGCCACGTGGCTCTCATCCTCGTGTTTCCCACTCCCACAGTCATCTGCTGGCTCTCGGTGTCAGGGGCAGACACGTATGTGAACACAGAGAACGAGGTCACGCAGACTTCCTTCCAGGCGCTCAGATCAACCTTTCTTGCCCCCTGTGCCTATCACCCCTGCAGTTAACTGCTGGCCCTCGGTGTCAGGTGCAGACACGTATGTGAACATAGAGTACGAGGCCACGCAGGCCTTTGACCTGCGCCACGTGGTCGTTGAGATCCCGCTGCCTGCTCTGCGTGAGGCGCCCACGCTCAAGGACTACGACGGCGAGCCCAGGCACGTGCTACGTTTCTTTCCCTTTCCCTTCCTTTCCGTCGTCTTCTTTTGTCTTCCCCTTTGGGCTGGATGTATGCACACCGTTTGAAGGCTTTACGCTGGAGAGCCAAGGTCACGAACTAGCTTTGCATTCGCATGATTCCCACGAACCCCCATGCGGTGCAGAGCTCTTAGGGTTTCTGGGCATGGTGGTTAAATTGAAACACTGTGATGTGAAGCCGTTCTTCCTCTACGTTTCAACTATCTGCCCAATGCTGCTTGTGTGCATGCATGCAGATATGATTCGAGGAGATCCGTGTTGGAGTGGTGCATCGACCTCATCGATAACTCCAACCGCAAGTAAGATTTGTTTCCCAGTTTTTGTCAGCTGTTGGTCTTGTTGTAGTCTTGGCTCCTCTTTCCAGCTCAAAAGAAGCTAAGATAACTAGCCTGGCCAGGTAACGAGGGGGGGCAATACCTGCAGTCACATGCTTGAATTTAGACAGTGACACCGCGTTGATGTGAAGGATGAGTTACAACACATTGTTCTCATGGTCAGTTCGTGGGAGAATTTCAGTCACTTATGGTAGAAGAACAGTGGTTGCGCTGCACTCCTCCACCCTGGGTCTCTCTCCTCACCTGTTAACCCTTGCTCACTGGTTGCTCATTTGTTCCTCATCTGTTCTTCGCCCATTCCCCATCGGTTACTCTAACTGTTCCCCACCTGTTCCCCACCTGTTACTAACCTATTCCCAACCCGTTCCCAACCGTTCTCACCTGCTGCCCACCTGCTTCAACGCCGTGTGGTGCACGCGTATGGCAGTGGGTCGATGGAGTTTGTGGTGCCGGCCACCAACCCAGACGTCTTCTTCCCCATTGAAGTGCGCTTCACGTCCGCCAAGACATTCTGCGACGTCAAGGTCCGTCATTCATTCTCTCTTCCCATCCCTCTGCTACCCCACCCCTTTGATCACCCTTTTCCTTTATGAATGCCTCTGCAACACCCCCACGCTTCTCCCAATTCATTCTCAACGTACCCCTTTTCTATCCCACCCACCCTACCCCCTCCCCCCCCCACCTCTTCTTCCACCATCCTCCATCACTTTCATCCTCACCCCTGGGTTTACCTCCCCCACCACGCCCCCAACCCCCTCTCCCTTCCCTCCCTCTCTCCTTCTCACTCTGAAATCTATATTCTGCCCACCTGCATCTTCCTTCTCTACCTTCGCCTGCTTTCCCTGTCCTGCCCTCTGTTTACCCATGTCCTTCTCAACCCCTCCACTTCCCTGTCTTGGCGGTACCTTGTTCCCCCCCTTTCTCAAGCCTTCTCCACGGCCCCCCCTTACAACTCTCATAAAACCATTGAGCTTCTTACAGCAATTGACACTTGAGTACAATCGGATAGCATATGCGTTCTCTAAGTACTATTTTCCGTTGTTTGGCCATTTCAGGTGGTATCTGTGACTCAAGCAAGCAGTGGCCAACCAGTCAAGTTTGCAGGGAGAACACAGATGAGTGTGGAAAGCTACCAAGTCGTTTAGTTGGAGATTCTTTGTTTTTTTGTTTGAAACAGCAAACTCGGATGAACAGGTAAAGAGGGTGGGATGTGCGGAGTATTTTTATACGGTGCCATGTACGGTATGTGTTCAGGTTTGCACCTGTGTTAGGAACTTAGGAAAACACGTGCTTAAAGCCGGCAGCCCAAATTGTTCATCCTTTAAAAAGTTGACGAGAGGGAGCTTTTCTGGTTTGGGGTTGGGCGAGTGTTTCAGATTTCGTCAAATTCGTATTTTTTGCCAAACCCAGCCAGCCCCCGGATCCCCCCCTGGTGGGTGGGGTCACACTTCGAAAGTCCCAAATTGCAGGTGCGCTACTTTCAAAACTTGCACACTCCTCTTCGTCAAGTTTTAAAAACTTGACCCGCGCGGCCCGCAATTTGGGACACGGGCTTTAAGCATTGACCATGGGAAGTCAGATCCAGCAGTAATGTTGATGTGACACAAATGGATTTAGATGGCTTGTTTAGCACTGCCATATTCCCATGACTGTTGAAGTAATTTGGATATACGTCTGTCTGTCACCTTGTTCTTCTGGAAATATTAATACCGTACGTAAGATACCCCATACTGCATGACAGGATCTAGGCTACATGTGCTGCATGTCGGTGGGCACCTCCTAGGTAGGGTTATCCTGAGTTCAGCGAATGCGCGTTTCCGTGCTTGTGACGCGTACAATGTCAGACCGCAACAAGCGCCCAACACCAATGCGCTTTCCTCCAATGGGCTGCGGAGAAACGCGTTCAGATCAGTTTGACTGCCCGTGCTGCAACCAATGCCTAGCGAATTTGGTTCGGGCAGTCCAGCAACATTCGACAACGGTGAATACGTTTTGTACACGGTTCTTGTTGATACCGTTTTAAATCGTATCACATCGCACAAAACCGTGATGCATGAATTCAAGATGAATGTGTGCCGTGTACCAGCCGTGACTCCTCCCACGCACCTTGGTTCTGCGCTGCGCCTCTTTCTGCCTCATGCTCCTCCCTCGACACTCCTTGCACATGCTAAAATGTCATGGCCGTTTGCTGGACTTTCATTCTTCCACTCATCTTCTTGATAGCTTCTCACCGTGCGTCTAAGTTCAAGGATCTTGAAGCCTGATAGTTTGTCTTATCTTTGGAAACGCATAGTGACATTTTGAAAGACATACGCATAGTTTCTCACTCCACGAAACCTTTTCTCCGCAAGACTCTGAACATTTGCTCCACGAAGCATGCCGAGCGGAGACGTTCTCGTCGCGGCGCAGCCCGCAATGTGCAGCAAGGAGGAAATGCGGGTGAGTGCCGCTGGGACGGAGACTGCAACTGAATCTCTCAACGCCAAACGCTCTTTGTGAATCATCAAAAGTCGTTGGGACGAAAAGAGATTCTGAGTTGCACAACACGAAACGCCGCGTTTCGTGACGAACGTAGCGCTGACCGCTCTTGTGGCGTAAGCGAAATGAATCTGACTGTCGGGCAGATGCAAACTCGTTTCCGCGAAAAAAATCCTATTTTTTTTTGTTTTCTTTCTATGTACTAATCGGTTTTCTGGTTTGCCGTCCTTCCCGTCGCCTCCCCGCAGGTCTACCGTCGCTGGTTCGCATTCGTCGACTCAGGTGCGTCGTTTTCCACCTGTCACCTCACCACCACCATTCATCCCCTTCACTCGCCTCAGCTGCTTCCTCTACACCATCTCAAGCATCCTTTTCGCCTATTAATTCGACTTGATCGTGGCCTCGTCGGCGCCTCACGACTAAAAAATCCTACTTTTTGCCCATCAGCCACCGCGTGCTTTTGCCGTTTGTTCCCTCTCGAGCATCTTAGCCCCTCCTCGCCACTCGCTGATTATTGCTACCATGCACACTCAGGAAAACAAACCCTGGCTGAGGCCGCATTGCTTTTTCGGGACGCGCTGGATTCCCAGCGTTCTTTATTTTGAAAAAAAAAAAAAAAAAAAAAAAAAAAAAAAAAACCTCGGCAGTAACCATACCAAGGCTTTAGTCGCGCTGAAGTCCCCATTTGCCAATATAATGTCCCGTTCACCGTTATTCCTCTCCGTTCTCTCCATTCATTCCCCCCCGTGCAGATGGCGACGGGCGCATCACGGGTCCGGACGCCGTTCCCTTCTTCAAGCGCTCCGGCCTCATGCAGCACGAGCTCAAAGCGGTACGCGATGACACCCGTACGAACGAAACTGGTTCGAGATGAAACCCGTACGAGCGGAACCGTACGAGATGAAACAGCTTGCTAGTTAGAATGAGTACGGTTTGAAACGGGAACAAGCTGAACGAGGTACTGTGAGCTTAAACCGTGGCGATTAACGCCCGTGTTTGATACTGAGCCTTGTTCTTTGTCTCGTTGCCCCTCATCTTTCCTTCATCCCCAGTCTTCATCTTGCCCTTGCCCCTAAACTATATCCATTCCCTCCGCCTGTCTTCTTTCCCCCACATCTCCCGCGAACCTCTCAAACCCGCGCGTCGCGCACGTGCGCAGATCTGGGCGGCTGCGGACGACCGTCGCCAGGTACGAGCGCGCACGCGTGTGTGCGCAAGCACACTCAGAGCACCACCTCCTATGACTCCCGGCACCCGCCTCCTCTTCCTCCCAGCACCCGCCTGGATTTCCTGCGCCCTCACACCGCTCAGCGCTCCTCCGCCTACGCCCGCCAGCACTCGTTGCACTCATGCTCTTCACTCGTTTCAGGCGCATTCAACTCTTTTTCCAGCCTGCAGTGCAACCCTGTACAAAATGTTTCCCCGTCTGGTTGCCAGCACACTGAACGACCCTCTCTCCTCTCCCTCTCCCTCTCCCTCTCCCTCTCCCTCTCCCTCTCCCTCTCCCCCTCGTCTGCCTCTGCCTCTGCCTCTGCCTCTGCCTCTGCCTCTGCCTCTGCCTCTGCCTCTGCACCCCTGTGCACCGCTGAGCAGGGCTATCTGGGCATGGAGGAGTTCGTGGTGGCCATGCGGCTGATCGCCAAGCAGCAGCTGCTGTCACGCGGGGAGGACATGCCCGGTGAGCAGTGCTGTGGGCATGGGTGCCACGTGGTGCATGGGGTCTGGGAATGCTGCATGCTGCATGCTGCTTGATGCATGGGGCATGGGGCATGGGGAAGGGGGAAGGGGGCATGGGGCATGGGGAATGGGGAAGGGGGATGGAGTAGCAACAGCAACTGCTGTGGCGCGGGGAAGACATGGCCAGTGAGCCCTGTGGGCCCGGGGCGTCCTCTGCTCACTCCATGCATGCTGCCTCACGGACACCCAATCGCCCATCTGCCACTCTCGCCGCCCTCAACCCCACCTCCCTCTTCCCTTCCCTTCCCTTCCCTTCCCCACCGGCACCATGCTCTCCCCCTCCCACAGCGCGCCAGCCGTGCTTCCCGGCGCTGAGGGGGCTGGACGAGGAGCTGGCGTCCGACGGCATCCTCGCCTGCATCGCCTCCATTGAGTCCGACACGCATGGTGAGCCGCGAGCTGTGAGGCGTGTGCTGTGCGTGTTTGCTCGTCATGTGACGTGACGTGCTGTGAGCCCACTCGCATGGCGTCGGAGAGCATTCTCCCCTGCATCGCCTCCATCGACTCCGACACGCATGGTGAGCTGGGTGGCGAGTCGCAAGCGCATGGCTTGAGGCACGTCCTGCGAGGCGTGTGGTTTGCGTGTGTGTTGGTAGTATGATGTGCTGGAATTCCACTTGCATGGCGTCCGAGAGCATCCTCGCCTGCTCCGCCTCCATTGAGTCCGACGACACATGGTGAGCCGCGACATTCTTCCACTCCACGCTTCATAGAATGTGAGGAGGAGCGGACTCAAGTGCTCAACAGCTGCACACACGAAGGACTTCCGCAATGTTGGCTCTCTGGCTCATGTTGAGTGTTTCATCTTGGCATGCGGCTTGAATTCACCTCTCAATGAATGCATCTTTCTTTCTTTCCCTGAGCACCTAACCCTCTTCCCCCCTCTCAGGCCTCTCCCCCTCCTACTCTCCTTCCCCTATGCCTCTAACTCGTACCCCCTTACCTTCAAATATCCCCACTCGACCTCTCAACAACCTCCTTTTCTGCATCGCTCATGGCCCTCTGCCTATTCCGTATCCTTTCCTCCCTCCCCCCCTCACTTCTTTGCCTCCCTCCTCTCCCCTTCTCCACCCTATTGATTGGACATTGTCTCTCCACCCTTTCTGATTCCCACCGCCCCTTCGTAACAGAGGAGCCAGACCCCTCTCTGGCCGCATCCCTCATGTCACTGTTCAAGCCCAAGACCAAGAAGGTACGAACACGGCCCTGTCCTTTTTCCATTCATACCACACCCCTCTCTGGCCGCATCGCTCATGTCGCTGTTCAAGCCCAAGACCAAGAAGGTACGAACACGGCCCTGTCCTTTTTCCATTCATACCTCCCCCCTCTCTGGCCGCATCGCTCATGTCGCTGTTCAAGCCCAAGACCAAGAAGGTAAGCGCACGACCCTGCTCTTCTTTGTCTCATAACCGTCCATCCATCTGTCCATCCATCTGTCCATCCATCTGTCCATCCATCTGTCCATCCATCTGTCCATCCATCTGTCCATCCATCTGTCCATCCATCTGTCCATCCATCTGTCCATCCATCTGTCCATCCATCTGTCCATCCATCTGTCCATCCATCTGTCCATCCATCTGTCCATCCATCTGTCCATCCATCTGTCCATCCATCTGTCCATCCATCTGTCCATCCATCTGTCCATCCATCTGTCCATCCATCTCTCCATCCATCTGTCCATCCATCTGTCCATCCATCTCTCCATCCATCTGTCCATCCATCTCTCCATCCATCTGTCCATCCATCTGTCCATCCATCTCTCCATCCATCTGTCCATCCATCTGTCCATCCATCTGTCCATCCATCTGTCCATCCATCTGTCCATCCATCTGTCCATCCATCTCTCCATCCATCTGTCCATCCATCTGTCCATCCATCTGTCCATCCATCTGTCCATCTATCTGTCCATCCATCTGTCCATCCATCTGTCCATCCATCTGTCCATCCATCTGTCCATCCATCTGTCCATCCATCTCTCCATCCATCTGTCCATCCATCTGTCCATCCATCTCTCCATCCATCTGTCCATCCATCTGTCCATCCATCTGTCCATCCATCTGTCCATCCATCTGTCCATCCATCTGTCCATCCATCTGTCCATCCATCTGTCCATCCATCTGTCCATCCATCTGTCCATCCATCTGTCCATCCATCTCTCCATCCATCTGTCCATCCATCTGTCCATCCATCTGTCCATCCATCTCTCCATCCATCTGTCCATCCATCTGTCCATCCATCTCTCCATCCATCTGTCCATCCATCTGTCCATCCATCTCTCCATCCATCTCTCCATCCATCTGTCCATCCATCTGTCCATCCATCTCTCCATCCATCTGTCCATCCATCTGTCCATCCATCTCTCCATCCATCTGTCCATCCATCTCTCCATCCATCTGTCCATCCATCTGTCCATCCATCTCTCCATCCATCTGTCCATCCATCTGTCCATCCATCTGTCCATCCATCTGTCCATCCATCTGTCCATCCATCTGTCCATCCTTTGCGCACCTATGATCCAAGGCGACAGATGGGGTTGCTTTAAGGCTATCATGTGCCATGCTATCATGTGCCATGCTATCATGTACCATCCTATCATGTGCCATCCTATCATGTGCCATCCTATCATGTGCCATCCTATCATGTGCCATCCTATCATGTGCCATCCTATCATGTGCCATCCTATCATGTGCCATCCTATCATGTGCCATCCTATCATGTGCCATCCTATCATGTGCCATCCTATCATGTGCCATCCTATCATGTGCCATGGTCTCATGTGTTGAGAGCTGAGCATGACTGACCAGCCCTGTTCCCGCTCCAAACGCTCTCTCGCCCTCCCTCGCCCTACCTGTCTGCTTCGTGCCTCCCCACCAGCCTCTACCCCAGGGCGCCATAACGTCGGTGGTGGATGGGCTGAGGGGGCTGTATGAGAGCAAGCTGCGCCCGCTGGAGGAGGCATACCGCTTCCACGACTTCCACTCGCCCGCCCTCGTCAGTCCCCCTTCCTCTTCCTCTTCCTTGCCGTGCCATGCTTAATGCCATGCTTCATGCCATGCTTCATGCCATGCTGCCGTGCCATGCTGCCGTGCCATGCTACTGTGCCATGCTGCCGTGCCATGCTGCCGTGCCATGCTGCCATGAGTTGCCGTGCTCTTATGCCCGACTTACACTCACCCTCTCTCGTCAGTCATCACAGTTCCCTCCTTCCGTTCTCACCACGCCATGCTGCCATGCCATGGAGTCTGTTGCGTCCACCCAACCACATGGCTGCACCGCCGTTCCCAGCCGTGTTTGCACCACTCCATCCCATCCCGCTCTCCCCCCTACCCCTTCTCCCCGCACGTGTCCACCATGCGCCTTCAGACGGGGAGCGACTTTGAGGCCAAGCCCATGGTGATGCTGCTGGGGCAGGTGAGAACGTCGGACTGGCCTAGGTTGACAGAGATAAGAGAGTACGCATGTGATAGAATCTCACAGGAACATGCCACAATATCTCACATTTTGCGTGTCTCTGAATATCTTCACAAACTATCTTTAGTCCCATGCGCCCTCGTTCCATGCCCATCCGATCCAACCTGATTCCATTCTTATGCCCCTACTCCCTTCCACCCCCTACTCTCTCCACCCATCCCCCACTGCAGTACAGCACAGGCAAGACCACCTTCATCCGCCATCTGCTCAGCCGCCCCTACCCTGGTAAGCCGCACCTAGCCCTGCTACTTCTCTCTCTTCCCCCTCCTCGTCAGCTCAGCATTCCCTAATCTCCAACCTACACCCTAATCCAGACCACTGCAGCACCTCCGTTGACCCCTGTCGTCCTCCATTGATTTCCACTGACCCTCCGCACACCTCCCTCGCCTCTATCTGCAGGCGCGCACATTGGACCAGAGCCCACCACTGACCGCTTTGTCGTCGTCATGGTGCGTCCTCCTCCCCTCCTCCCCTCCTCCCCCTCCACACCACTCCTCTCATCTCCCCCCACCTTCTCTCCTCACCACTCCTCTTTTCTCCCCCCGCCTCCTCTCTCCATCTCACCTCCTAGGCACTATTGTCGTCTCTACTACATTCCTACTCTCTCCTCCTTTCCCCTCCACATCCCACGCCATTTGTTGCACTCTAATTCGATCTCTCTCACGTGATCAATCTCTTTCCATCACCTCCCTCCTCCCACCCATCAGAACGGCCCCGACGATCGCAGCATACCGGGCAACACGGTGGCAGTCAGTGCGGACATGCCCTTCGCCGGTCTCACCCGCTTTGGCTCCGCCTTCCTCGAGAAGCTTGAAGTGGCGCAGGTGAAGCGCGGTGGGCACAGGAATACATTGCCAATAGTTGCCTTGCCAATAGTTGACTTGCCAATATTTGCCTTGCCAATAGTTGAGTTGCCTTGCCAATACGTGCTCCCACCACACTGCCTACCACCCGCCTTCCCTGTCCCCTCTCCTCCTCACACCAACTTCTCCTCAACCGCATCTGCTCGGTGCGCACCTTTTGCGCCCTGCCACCCACTGCCTGCGTCACTACTGCTCACTCCTCCTCCTCCCCCTTTTCCCCCTCTCCTTCCCCTCCCTCCCTTTTCCCCCGATCTCCTCTCCAGCTGCCCCACCCCCATGTTGACCACATCTGCCTGGTGCACACACCAAGGGCGTCGCCAGTACCTTCTCCCCCCTCCCTTTTTCTCCCCCCTCCCCTTTTCTCCCCCCCTTCACCAGCTACTCCACCCTCCCTGGGTCCACATGTGCTTCGACAACACACTGGGTGTTCGAGAACACATGTGGCAGTCCCACTGTTACTTACTCTCCCTGTCATCAACATCCCCCTGCTTACCGCTTCTCTCACCGCCCTCACCAGCCACCCCACCACCCCTGATGACCACATCTGCCTCGTGCACTCACCAAGAGTGCCAGCATTACCTTACCAAGGCATCTTTCTTCCCCTCCCTTCCATTCGCCCCCTTCTTTCCCTCCCCTCAACCCCTCTCTCCAGCTACCCCACCTCCTGCTGAGCCACATCTGTCTGGAGGACACGCCGGGCGTGCTGGCAGTACCTGCATCCCCCCCTGAGCCCTTCTCTCCTTTCCCCCCCCCCCGCTCTATCCCCCCACCAGCTGCCGCACCCCCTGCTGGACCACATATGTCTGGTGGACACGCCGGGCGTGCTGGCGGGGGAGAAGCAGCGCACCCAACGCAGCTACGACTTCACTGGTGTCACTGAGGTGAGGGAAGGGTTAGGGGGGTAAGGTGGCTCAGGGCTGTGGGTGAGTGAAGGGGGGGGTGAGAGTGTGGTCAGTGAGGGAGAAACATATGGGTGTTCGAGACTCAGTTCAGGGATGGAGCGCAAAGCAGCGCAGAGGAGGTAGGTAGAGGGCTCTGAGCAGCTACGACCTCCTCTCCATGTGCAGAACATCGTCTGCCCCAGTGGTTCGCCGGCGCAACATCGTCTGCTGCTCTTTGTCCCGCACAAGCTCGACAGGCGCAACACTGACTGTCCTGTCCACTCAATGATTGCCTGAACCCCATCCCATCCACTCAAAGCACATCTGCCTCTCTCCCTCCCCTTGCTCACCCATTCCCCCCTCCAACTAGTTCGCCACCAAGTGCCACCTCATCCTGCTGCTCTTCCACCCGCACAAGCTGGATGTAGCGACGATGGCTGCTCACTCTCCTTCCTCACCCATCCCCCCCTCCCCATTCCTCTCCCCTCCAGTGGTTCGCATCAAAGTGCGACCTCATCCTGCTGCTCTTCGACCCGCACAAGCTGGACGTGAGCGATGAGTTCAAGCGCGTCATCACGTCGCTGCACGGCAACCAGGATAAGATCCGACTGCTGCTCAACAAGGCCGACCAGGTCAACACGCAGCAGGTGAGACGCGTTGACCAGGTCAACACGCAGCAGGTGAGACGCGTTGACCAGGTCAACACGCAGCAGGTGAGACGCGTTGACCAGGTCAACACGCAGCAAAGGCTTGAATGTGCGCACAGCGCATGCCTGTTGCGCTCATGCCCGCTCCTGTGTTTCTCGCTTCTCCTCTCCTCACTCCCCCCACCCCCTCACCTCATGCGTGTGTACGGTGCATTCATGTAGTCAATGGTTGATTGAGAGTGAATGGTTGATTGAGAGTGAATGGTTGATTGAGAGTGAATGGTTGATTGAGAGTGAATGGTTGATTGAGAGTGAATGGTTGATTGAGAGTGAATGGTTGATTGAGAGTGAATGGTTGATTGAGAGTGAATGGTTGATTGAGAGTGAATGGTTGATTGAGAGTGAATGGTTGATTGAGAGTGAATGGTTGATTGAGAGTGAATGGTTGATTGAGAGTGAATGGTTGATTGAGAGTGAATGGTTGATTGAGAGTGAATGGTTGATTGAGAGTGAATGGTTGATTGAGAGTGAATGGTTGATTGAGAGTGAATCATCACAACCCACACGCTCTTCGCCTCTCCTCTCCTCTCTCCTCTCTCCCCTCCCACCACCCCCCGCAGCTCATGCGAGTGTACGGTGCACTCATGTGGTCACTGGGGAAGGTGATGAACATGCCTCCTCCTGTGCGCTTGCCACTGCTTCGCTCCTCGCACCCCACACTCTCAGCTTATTCGCCCTTGCCCCTCTCCTCTCCTCTCCTTCCCCACCCAATTTTGCAGCTCATGCGAGTGTATGGTGCGCTCATGTGGTCACTGGGGAAGGTCATCATCACGCCTCCTGTGCGCTTCACCCTGCTTCTCTCATCACATCCCGCACTCTCACCTCATGCGCTCTCGCTCCTATCCTCTCCTCCCCTATCCCCACCCCCTCAGCTCATGCGAGTGTACGGGGCGCTCATGTGGTCCCTGGGGAAGGTCATCAACACGCCTGAAGTCATGCGCGTGTATATCGGGTGAGTTGGTTCGTTGGGTGAGTTGGTTCGTTGGGTGAGTGGCTGTGAAGGACGTGCTTGTAGGCGTTGAGAGTCGGTGCCACGGTGCAGCCATGCAACACACACACCTGCATGCGTGCATGCGTGCTTGTGTGCTTATAGAGTGGCCCTTGCCATTGTGCCACGGTTGCTGAAGCGGCTTTTGAGGCGCCTCTAGATTGGTGTGTGTGAGTCTATCGGGTGAGTCCTTGGCACTGTGCTGCCACACAGAGAGTCAGTATGGCAGCGCTGTAGCGGGCACTTCAGTGCACTACGCAACTTTATCTGCTCCCTTGCTCACCCTTTCCCCCGCATCCTCCTCCCCTCACCCTCCTCCCCTCTTCACCTCCTCCTCTCCTCCTCACCCTCATCAGATCTTTCTCGGACACAGCTCCTGGCAAGAAGAAGCTTCCTGCAAAGAAGCTTCCTGGCAAGAAGAAGCTTCCTGCCCAGAAACCACGCAAGCAAGCGCTTCAGCTGCGGTCAGCAACGCAGCAGACGACCATCAGAGGCGAGTCAGCAGCATGCAAGGAGGCGAAGGAGACAAAGGATATCCCAGACAAGGAAAAGGAGGAGACGGGAATCAAGGAAGCAGAGAGTGAGAAGGATGCGAGGAACGAGTGTGCAACAGTGGGAGAAGAGAGTGCGAACGGTGCAGGTCTTGAGAAGGGAAATGGGGAGAGCGGAGAGGAGGTTGGAGAGAAGAGCAAAGAGGAGGGAAAAGAGGAGTGCGGCAATGCAGCAAAGGGGCGCAGAAGAGCCGAGCTGGAAACCAGCCGAGACAAGGAGAACGTGGCGCCCATGAGCCGTGGCGAGGTGAAGGCTGGAATTGGAAGCGGGAATTATGAGCAGGCACAGAATAAAATCGATGAGGAGGAAGTGGAAGAGGAGGAGGAAGAGGAGGAGGAAGAGGAGGAGGACGCGGAGGGGCGGCTGGGGCGCGCGCTGTTTGAGCGAGAGATGAATGACCTGCTGTGTGACCTGGGTGACCTTCCCCGGAAGAGCTGCGACCGCAAGGTGAGGAGGGAAGGACGAGGGGCGGTGGGCGGGAGGAGGGGGGAGGAGGGAGAAAAGGGGGTAGGGAGTCTGGGGGGGTGGGATGTTCGCTCTGTGACCTGCTGTGTGACCTGGGTGACCTGCCCAGGAAGAGCTGCGACCGCAAGGTGAGGAGTCCTGCGGGGGGTGGGATGAGAGGACTGGGATTTAAGCTATTTATGCCGAGGGGAGACGAGGGGAGATATGGGGGAGGGAGAGCGCCAGGTGAAACATACCGTCCAGGATGGGAGCAGGAGTGGATGCATCCACTTCCCATCCAGAACATACTAACAACGCGCCCCACTTCCCTCGGCCCTTGACCCTTGCCAATTCCCCATTTCCTCTTGCCTCTCGCCTCTTACCCCTTGACTCTTCCCCATATCCCCATTTCCCATTGGCCCTTGCCTTTCCCCCTTCCCCCATCCCCCATCCGACCTCTCGCCCCTGGGTGTGCAGATCAACGAGTTTGTGAAGAGGGCTCGGGCAGCGAGGGTGAACGCGTTCATCATCTCCCACCTGCGCGCGCAGCTGCCCCTCTTTGGCCGCGCCAAGGCGCAGCAGCGCCTCATTGAGAACCTGCCGCAGGAGTTTGAGAAGGTGAGGGGACGATGGGGGATGAGGGAAGGAGGGGAGGGGATGGGGGAAGGAGGGGAGGGGATGGGGGACGGGGGCTAGGGATGCAGCTGCTCCTGTTTGTCCGCGCCAAGGCAGAGCAGCGCCTCATTGAGAACCTGTCTCAGGAGTTTGAGAAGGTAAAGACAATGGGGGGAGGGGGGATGGGGAAGGGACGTGCAGGGGTTGCAGCTGCCGTGTTAAGTGTTTCTGAGAACTCTCAAAAACACCAAGGAGCAGCAAATGTTCATTCATGTGCGTCGAACTCGTGCAACCCTCGTGGCTCTCGCTCGCCCTGTCTTGCACCCACGGCGTTTCACCCCACCGGGAGAACCAACTGCTATTGACGACCTGCTTCTCGTGGTTGGAAGGTTCCACTTCAGTGTCTTAAAATTACTCAACCCAGCACAGTGCACATCACCAGGGCAGTAAGTTAGATAGCCTTGGCCTGCTCCTGCCCCCGAGCCTCCAATCATTAATGCCATTTTTTCCCTCCACCTCCACCCCTTTTTCTATGCCCCCCCCCCTCCCCCCCCCTTCTCCCCTCTCTTTCCCTTTCTTGTTGCTCTCCAGGTGGCTCGGGAGCATCGCCTGGCAGAGGGCGACCTCCCACCAGTGGCGCTCTTTCAACGCGCACTAGCTGGGTGTGCGTTTGAGAGCTTTGAGCGTCTCAATGTGAAGCTTGTGGAAGAGGTGGACAGGATGCTCGCTTACGATATTCCCCATCTCTTGAATACGTTCAGAAACCCTTATATGTAAAACACTTGTATTGCGTTGTGGTTATAATGAGAAGGCATGGTCTGGTATTTGATTTGCTGAGTTACTCTCAGATCTACTTAGCTCTTGGTAACATCAATTGTCTTGCATGTGGAAAAGAAAACCAAAGCAGTGTAGCCGCGGGTCACGCCGAAAGCTCCTGACGGATGAAGTTACTTTCTGACAGAATTTGCGTCAGGTCAGGCAGGCCAGGTGGTTCAGTAACACCAGGACAGTACTAGACCCTGCCAGATCGGAGTCTTGATCTAGGTTCGCCCTGCCACTGCAAGATGCCCGTAGAGTCGCCATTTCGTCATGCATTGCCGAATTTAATAGTAAGGTGTATTTTATTTCCCTCTGCGAGAACTGAGCTCGGCTTTGTGTTTTCAGCCAATCATTCACTCGACGGATTCAATAGAAGCAATCGCTAGGGTGTTTAGGGTTGACTAAATCCTGGTTTTAAGTTTTCCTGCCCGAGGTCAGTTGACGGCCGAACGGGCCGGCTAATCCCCTGGCCAGATACACCTAGTCCGCGGTATTTTAACCGCCGCTATCTTAACCGCGCGAGAGTACTTCTCATTGGTCAAACTCGTTTAAACGAGTAGTTTTGAAATTGATGAGGGTATAATCTAACATTCCCTTCGCGAGATAGCGGCAGTTAAAACTCTGCCAATGCCGATATGCCCCCTATATAGGAGCACTAAGTGTGCGTTTCTTCAGACGGAAAAGCATCCGGCTGTAAAATAATAGCCTTGAAGTCTTTGGGTGCCCATCTCATTACCCGAAAACGAATAAAGGGTGTTTGAAACAAAACAGTTCACGTGGTTAATAGAAGCAATCGCTAGGGTGTTTAGGGTTGACTAAATCCTGGTTTTAAGTTTTCCTGCCCGAGGTCAGTTGACGGCCGAACGGGCCGGCTAATCCCCTGGCCAGATACACCTAGTCCGCGGTATTTTAACCGCCGCTATCTTAACCGCGCGAGAGTACTTCTCATTGGTCAAACTCGTTTAAACGAGTAGTTTTGAAATTGATGAGGGTATAATCTAACATTCCCTTCGCGAGATAGCGGCAGTTAAAACTCTGCCAATGCCGATATGCCCCCTATATAGGAGCACTAAGTGTGCGTTTCTTCAGACGGAAAAGCATCCGGCTGTAAAATAATAGCCTTGAAGTCTTTGGGTGCCCATCTCATTACCCGAAAACGAATAAAGGGTGTTTGAAACAAAACAGTTCACGTGGTTAAAATACCGCGAACTAGGTGTAAGAACACCATGACACTCCCTGAGCCCTTGCCGCCGCCGTCAATTCGTTCAGATTCAAGTTGCGCGTGCGGTCCGCAACCCACCAGTTGCGCAACATGGACCCGACAGATTTGACAGGTCTGGGCAGGTTGCTGTGCCCGCCTCTGTTGCGTGCGCTGCACAATGAAGAACAGGCCCACGGCACGGACCCGCGAATGCAACGAGGACGGTGGGAGCCTCCGCGCACGGTTGGGTTTTGAAATTGCCATGAAAGGGGAGGGGGGGGAGGGGGAGGGGGAGCCGTGCAGTGCAGTGCAATGCACTCTACATCTTCCGCGCCGTCATCTCATCGCCTCGTCACGTCACTCTCCAGTAATTGCCGTCCGCCAGCTCCGAAACCCGCGCCTGTCTGCTCCGCGCTCTCCCCTTCCAAGTTCCTGGCAGGTGGCACCAGCAGCACCCGACATAACGATGACGGAGTATTAGTATATGAACTCGCTCGTCTCCTCCCCATCCATGTGTCCAGTCCTCGCACCTCACTACCTTCCCACCACTTGAAGTTGCGTCCGTTCGCAACGACTCGGAGACTAGGCCTCGCGGTCGCTGCAACGTCGACTCGGCGAGCTCCATTCAAGCCTCAGCGCGTCTGAACCTCAACGTCTCGTTGCGCGCCGTCCGTCGTCGCCATGGCTCGCTCGCTCTCCGCGATCGCGCTCGTCGCCGCTGGCCTGCTCGTCCTGCTCGGTACGCCACTCTCCCTCGCTCCTGGTGTTGGGCCAATTTTGTCGGTCGAGTCTGATAGGACCTTGGCGACGCAACGCGAGCTCAATTTGATATCAAAACAAGCTCGGTGTCGGTTGACTACTTCCGACTGACATTCACACTAGATTATTCGCATTGCATCATCGTCCCTCCTCCCTCACTTCCCCTGATTTTCCTTCCTGCCTCTCCTACCCGCTGCCTCCCCTCCCCCCTGCCTCGCCGTGCACGGTGTGCGGTCGTTTGCTCCTCAGCCGCAACACACGCTGAGGTACGCCTCCGAGGGGAAGTCCCCCTTTCCCGCCCTCGCGCCCTCACCTCATCAATGCTGTACCCGCTACCTACCGCTTGCTGCGCTTTCTTGCCCTCTCCGCTCTCTTGATTCTCCCGCTCTATCCCTGCTTCTCCCGCTCTCCCTGCTTCTCCCACTCCCGTCTTCTCCCGCTCTTCCCTGCCCTTACTCTGCACTTGCGTGCCAATATTCAATACCGTCGCGGTTGTTTTTCTGCCATTCTCCTCCTCAATCCTAGTCCTCCTCATCCCACTCATTCCCAAACCCCTTCTCACTCCCTCCACCCACCCACCACTGCACTGCACCCCATGCGCGCAGGCTCGGGACATAGCGGTGGGCGGCACCAGCGGATGGACGTTCCAGATCAGCAGCTGGAAGCCCAACCCGCCTGCGAAAGCAGGCGACGTGCTCGGTGCGTGCCCCTCACATGCGCCACCACCCTAGTGCTTCCCTCTCACGGTTCCTCCCTATGCTTCCCTTGCTCGTGAATGTAATCCGCGCGCACACCTTCTAAGGTGGTTGTTTGGTCTATAAAACGATCGCCAGTGGTATCACCACTGGTGCACTGCTTCAAGCACAAGTTGCATCGGTAGGCCGCTTGCGGAAACCGTGATAAGCGAGTGGGGTTCATTGTGCCGCGTGCACATTCCTCATGCTTACCACCATTTTCTCTGGAAGCTGATCTCTGCTCGCCCGTATCCCCTGCTGTCCCGGGCACCCCATGGCAGTGTTCAAGTGGATGGGCAACCACGACGTGTGGCAGATGAACGGTGCCGCAGCGTACAGGGGCTGCAACTTTGGGGCGGCTAAGAAGCTGACACCCCAGACCATGGGTGGCAAGTACAGGTGAGCAGCACAGCACGCATGTGGCATGAGAAGGTAATCCCAAGGGCGTCTGAGATTCATTGGCATGGTAAAAAGGTGTGAGTGCTTTGGAATCTGTACATTTGCTGCTGCCTTTACAGACCAGGAAGATGATCTCTGGTTATTCTGATGGGCGTACTTTCCACAGCCCTAGCTGTGAACAACCTGAAGCATTCGCCCCAAGCGTCATAACGAATTACTTATCGTGCGCTCCCACCTGCCTGGCTTGTATTCGTCTCCCTTTCAGGTTCAAGGTGCCGAACACAGCCAAGGGCAAGACCCTGTACTTCAGCTGTTCAGTGATGTCCCACTGCCAGGGCATGATGAAAGTGGCCGTTCCAGTCCAGGCTTGACTCTTGAACCCTGCACCGTGCATCTGATTGCCTCTTCGCTACCTTGGTGTTCTTGCCTTTGAGTCGACTCAAAGACCCTGTACCTCGGCTGTTCAGTGGTGTCCCATTGCCAGGGCATGATGAAGGTTGTCAAATTACATTTGTATGTGCAGGCTGTAGTGGGGTAGCCTCTACTGAGTACAACACTTTAGGTCAAACCTAGTACTTGTACTCATCCTTGCTTGCTAGTCAACCATTCCTGCACAGTTGATTCTGACATGGTATTCAGCAGGAAACCTGTTAGGTTTTTAGGGCCCACCGATAGTTTCGCTAGTTCCTGCCCGAAGCGCCCTTGCGATGTCCAGCCCTCTCGCAAAGTGTCATGCTGCCCTGCAGCTACTCGCACTGCCTGCCCTAGCGTGCTGCCCTGCTGTCACGCGCGCCCCTGCTGCCCGCGAGCAGCCCCTGCCCCGCGCGCCCCTGCTGTCCGCGAGCAGCCCCTGCCCCGCACGCCAATACTGCATGCGAGCAGCCCCAGCCCCGAGCGCCCTTGCTGCCCGCGAGCAGCCCCTGCCCCGCGCGCCACTGCTGCCCGCGAGCAGCCCCTGCCCCGAGCGCCCTTGCTGCCCGCGAGAAGCCCCTGCCCCGAGTGCCCTTGCTGCCCGCGAGCAGCCCCTGCCCTGCGCGCCCCTTCTGCCCGCGAGCAGCCCCGCAGCCCAGCGCGCCCCGCAGCCCTAAACGCGCCAACGCGCCCCGCTGCTAAACGCGCCAGCGCGCCCCGCAGCCCAGCGCGCCAGCACGCCCTGCAGCCTAGCGCGCCAGTGCGCCCTGCAGCCCGGCGCGCCCCGCTGCTAAGCACGCCAGCGCGCCCCGCTGCTAAGCGTGCTAGCGCGCCCCCCAGCCCAGCGCGCCAGCGCTCCCCACTGCGAAGCGCGCCAGCGCGCCCCGCAACCCTAAATAATAATAATTACATATTAAAAAAAAACAAAAACAAGAGGCGACGAAATCGTCTTAAGGTTGCGAAGCATTTTGCAAAAGTACATTAACCTGTAAAGCTACGGTAATAGAGTGTACAAAACTTGAACGCTCCAACAATGATTTTAATTGTAACCCAAAACCTGCTAAATAGCTACCCTGCTGGAATCAAACTGGAGATCTTCCAGGTTCTAGCCGACTTGATTACGACTCCCCTACAAACGACATGTGTACATTTTTTTCTAATTTTATATGTGCAATGTCTGTGCGACGAAATTTGAACTGCTCTAGGGTTTTGACGTCCCTTTCTTCTCTGCTTTATCCGTTTTTGCTTTCCTACGTCCTCTCGTTCTGCTGACGGGCTACGAAACTGACGGGCTACGGGACTTTCGCTAGGTAACCTCCTAACTTGCAACTTAAACTCGTTCGATCCGTATGATTGTTAGGTCGACTTGATTCTAACTTAGGACGACTTAGATCTAAACTAGGTCGGCTAAGATTTTGTTTTAACACATGTTTTTTTTCAAAACCGTAGTTTAT